GTTACATGAAATTTTAATATATATAATAATGATATAATAATAATAATGATAATAATAATCATAATTATTATAATAAGGACATAAGTTAAATTCATTTCAAGTTTGTTTTTATTTAATTTCAAAACTTTTCTTTATAAAAAATAGATGTCCTTCAATATGAACAGTTCACTTCAAATATACAATAGAATACGGGCACTTCAAATGACACAGTAACACAGTGTCTGGGTCACACATACACACAGTGAATCACAATATGCAGAATAACAGGCAGTTATCGCAGTTTGGACCCATTGCAGGTCTTCCACAAGCTTCCACACTCAATCTTCCACAGCAAATTAATGGATAACTAGAACTGTCAATAGACGACAAGTTTACATGACTCTTTGACAGTGTTACAGTACCTGCTAAACTCTAACCAAATAATCCTTAATCCTTGTTCATTGTCAGTAACCGAGCAGCTGAACATGTTTGTTCTGCATCTTAAATTAGGCCACAACGCAGGAATTTAAGAGAATATTCACTTACAGTTTGTTCAAGACAAAAAGTAAAACAACAAACACATTTGCATAGAAAGGAAATGTTCTGATTCTTGCAGCAAAAGAAAAAACACACTTCTCAGTCAACGTCATGCACTTATTGAGGAAAACCTTCCGCTGGCATTTCGAAACCTTAAAGACCTGATAAACACTAAAAAATACAAATAGCAAAAATGGTTGCTAGCATTTGTGTGAAATGTGTTTCCATGTGAGGTTAGCGTTGGAATAATATCAAGCTGGAAGACATTTTGTTCTAGACTTAGCTAAATACTCTCAAAACATTCTACGATCCTCTTCCCTTCTTCTCAACGTCGTACTGCTGCTTGGATCAGTCAGCTGTTATTACTACTAGCAATGATGTAGGCTCAAAGGAAACGGACGCCGTAAAAAGACAAAAGTACCTCAACATCTTTGTACATTAGCCAATTAGCTAGAACTTGTGTTTCTTTGATAGTTTTGTTCCAAATCAGCGGCTTCGAACCAAATGTTGACATGGGTTGAAACGGTCACACGTTAACTGTTTATAAAATGAAACAGTCTCTTCACAGCCTTCAGGGCTGAAGTCGAATTCACAATTTTCTTAGCGTGACAGCCACAATTTTAACACAGCTTACTTTAGCATTGTCTTAAGAAACAGACAATTAGCTGCTAACTATAGGCTAGCTCATGTTGATTGTAAATGACAGAGAGCTGGCAGCTGTTGGAATCTCCTGGTTGAACTATTAAAAGTTCTGAATCTAGATGTCCAGCATTCGGGGTTATGAAGCAGCTAGTCTGCGAAGCTAACATTAGCTCAAACCCATTGTCATTATTGTTGAGCAAGTGCTTAGTTGAAATGAGTATCTGGTACAGATAAAGTACTTTTTACCAGTACCACGAGAAAAAAGGGTCAACATCTGGACTTGTAACTATAGCAACTTTTTTTTTTTAAATCAATTGATTAAAAACATTGCTGTGAAGCTTAACTCTGAGGCAGTTCTGTAAATAATCTTCTAATAAATATAGCAACTTCTGATGATCCCATATCATTTTCAGCCATTTTCAACAACTTCCAGTTAGTCCCGCCCACTTCTGCCTGTCTGGTTTAAGCCCCGCCCATTCTGAGTACAGATAGTATCCTGATACATTTGTTCGTTGAACAGGTACAGATAATAGTGAACTCATCAGATGTGACTTACCAGCAATTCATCAATAAATGTAAGCCCAATATTGATTATCCATATTTGTCCTTTTTTTTTTTTAGGGCTACCATCCGTTCAATTTACTTCTCCATCTCGCTCTCTTTCTCTCTTTCTGAATTTCTACCGCTGCATCTTTGACTGTCCGCCATCTTGACTCACAATGTCAACCTTGTTCTTCTCTCCGTTGATCTATAGCACACATGTAAAGAAAGCAGGAGGAGATACAGGAAGAAGGCGCTCGCTCCAATCAAGGAAGTTCCCAGCCAACTGGGACGCCGATGCTCGGCCTTCTCTTTGATCTCTTTGGCCACAATTGGTCACTTTCATCGCCGTAATAGTTCTGGTCCCACAATGCCCTGCTTTTAAAGGACATTTTATGGTCAGCTTGTAGGAGTTTGTGTCAAAAGTCATGTCAGGTCATGACTCAATCACTTGGCGGCGCGGTAGATGGCCAGGTCCAGCGGCTCCCTGGACGGAACGCACCAATCATCTGCCTCCAAACTCAGCTTGTAGTGACGCAAAGCGGTCTTGTTAAAAACCGGCAGCCTCTCCACTGAGTCTGTGGACAATGCCTAGGTACAGACGGAGAATTTTAATGCAGGGATGACTTACTCCAAGAATAAATAGGGATACTTTTATTTGGCTAACATCATGTTTTGGTTCTCATGTATGTATGTGTATATATTACCTTCAGTTGTATGACAGCGTCAGTGCCGTAACCCTCCATAGAGTAGAGCTGTAAGTCTCCCTGGAAGTAGCGTGCGTAGAGACGAGAAATGGGCAGACCATAGCCAAACCCTGCCTGCACACACACATACACACGTAGACATGTTAGCTCTTCTCATGTATTAGCATTGTGTTGGAATGTACACACGTTTGGGTGTGAATTGCTCACCAGTGGGGCTCTGTGTCTGTCTCCTATGGAGGGTCTGGGGGCTGTGGAGTACATGTAGCTGAACAGACGCTCTGTCTTCCTGAAGGGAACGCCGCCTCCTCTGTCGCTCATCTGGAGAGAGATGGAGATTGTGGAGAGGTTAACTAAGCAGCGAGGGCTCAGCAGCCAAGATGGACGCAACACATACAGTCTGAAAGAGTTAGATGTCAGTTTGGAGAGAATACCTTCAATTTTGTTACCATGCCGCATAAACCATAGACAGGAAGACCTGTAAGTGTGTTTGTGTGTATGCAACTCCACCCTTAATAAAGTTTTTCTATGGCAGGCCATTAGGGCAAAGTTTAAAGGTGTGAAACAATGGTTAGCAAGAGTTAATCCTCTCTAAATGTGGAGGCAGGGTGTGCCAGGAGCTAGTGATGTCAATGAATGGGCTCTAAATCTGGGTGGATGATGATTCTTTGATGATAATGAGGGTTTATGGGGTTTATGTAACCTAATTAAGCCGCTGAACAGAGGTGAGTCAGGGTAACAAGAACAACGGGGCAATGGGTGAAAACACGTCACTTCAGAATGTGGATGAAAAGAAAGCATTCATTCCTCTCTTTCTTTTAATAGCTTCCATCATAATCACCTTAGTGTATACATAACGTATGTGTTACCTCAGTAGAGCTTTAGTGCTGGGAGCATTACTGTGGTTTTTTGGAGTAAAAAAGTTTATAGTTGAGCCAACTCTGTTTCTATTCTTGGTTTGAGAATTGAGGGCATTCAGATAACACCTTTCTTGTTCTTTCAACTTGTGACGAGCTAGAAAGCCTAGTTAATGTCGTGTGGATGTTTGCCAATGCATTCTGGGGCAGAAGAATCAGAATCTCTTTGACTTTTCTTCTGGTTTGGTTTCCACTCTAGTACTAACCATGTGTCTAGGACGTGGCCTATCACAGAACTCTCCAATGTCAGAAACAGTTTCAGTTCATGCGGAAGCTGCAAGTGAACTTAAAACAAAGACGTATGACGATTTAAGAGCGGAGCTGTCACTCACCTTGATTGACAGGTCCTCTCCACCAAGGGCAACCATGACTTTGATGGGTGGGAGGGTCCTGCTGGCCTCATGGGTCTCAATAGTTGCTCTCATGGCGTTCTACAGAGAGGAAACATGAGGGTTTATGAGCTGTTGGGCAGCCATTATGGTCCATTCATTTTTTACATTTTATTAAAAGGCCAATATCAGATGACGGAAATTCAACATGTTCTAAAAAGCCACACTGAGCTAATTGCTAATGTCAGTAAATTCACTTCTGGAATATGAATTAATTTAGGATCATTTTAGCAAACATGGTGCAATATTTGGATCCTAAATGCAAATATGAAGTCTTTTGAATATGATTTAACACTGAAATTGGGACACTGGTTGGTTGTTCCTCTATACCAACAGGCTAATGGGTACTGTAGTATTTAGGTGGGGGGTACTGAAGTATTATTAGGAGGGGTATTTTTACACATAGAAATGACCAAGTCACTGTTTTGCAAGTCACAAGAAAGTGTCTTTGCACCCATGTCCTAAACTTTGAGTCCTAAATAAGTCAGCATTTAATGTTTTTTTGTGCAGTGTTATTTATTACCTTGAAGAGTTCAAACAGCATGTGATACAGGTGAGATGGGATGTATGAGATATGGATGGACTCTCTGATGTTGTTGGCTAGGGGAGGGGGAAAAAAACGTCAATGCACACACACTTTAACAAACTGCAAGTGTGTGTTTCGTCGCAGCGCTTTGTGTGCGTCTCACCATTCATCTGCCTGAGCTCCAGCTCTGGTGCTCCGAGGTAATACTGCTCACACAGCAACTTAGCACTCTCGTAGGCATCTAGAGATAGAAAGCAAAAACAACTGTATTCTTTGCCCTGTGTGGATATTATAAAACAGACATAACGATAGATAAAGACACAGAACAGATGTGATAAATACAAGCTTATCATCAGTATAAACATTATAGCTGATAAGTGTGTTGAACCACAAACAGCTGCTCTGACTCTCTGTTTAAACACTGAAACTGGCCCAAACTGGATGAGCAGCCTGCCAAGCTCTGTCCCAGTAACCTGCTTGATTTGATGATGTGAGGGCTTTTGCTCCTCCGACAGTACACACACTAATGCAAAGGTGACGGTGGGTGGGAGGTCTACAAGGACCCAACAGCTAAATGTTTCCCTTGGGGGGGCCAAGACAATAAGCTGACAAGTGGCTCTTTAAATCTGATTCAGGGAGTGCAGTGTTTTCCAGATTAGGAAAGTAGATTTGCAAAGAATTGAATTACAAACCAACTAACATGCGTTGAATCTGGAGCTTCCACTGTGAATCTGGGGGCTCTAGAGCATTTGTGCATTTTGCAAATTTGATTGCTCTCCAGTTTTACATACTGCATACTATACTGGATCATCATCATGGATGGACGGTCAGTGTGATTGTAATGGGAGTATAATGGGATTAAGAGCAAACTTGTGTCAGCTGATATAAACCTAACTACCACTGCCTCTCTCTCCCCGTTATTCTTACCTCGTGCCACCTCTGTCACGTCACATTTGGAGTCAATGCAGCCAATGGTGTTGGGATGGGCGGGGTTTATGTTGCCGTTGAACACGAGAGCTGCAAGAGAAGAAGAGTAAATTACTCCTCCTACAGCTGCTAGTAGCAGTAGTTTATGAGCTATATATTGACACAATCTGACAGTGTCATATGGGGGGTGGGGGGTGCTCACTGTGCTGGTTGATGAGCATACGGATGGAGATGCGGCTGGTGTAGAAACGGTCCAGGAAGTACTGGATGTTGTGGTCAGTAACGGTATCCTGCTGGCCGAAGGCATCTTTGTACTCAATTATTCCCTGAGCCATGGTGGGGACCACCTCGTTGTGCCGGTTCCTGATGTCCTCCAAGACCTCCACAAACCTGGACATTGGCGGACGCAGGAGGGAAAGGTGCAGAAGGTTAGGTTAGAGGGAAAAGAAGTGAAAGTTATCCTATCCAGCTCTGCTTGTTTTTTTTGTGTGTGTGTTTACACTCACGTCTCTAGGACACTCTGGTCATCGGGGTTCTTGTCCAGGAACTCCAAGATCTCCATCAGGCTCTGGATGTACCTGAGGGAACACACACACAAACACGAGAGAGTCACTTGAGTGTGGCAGACACTCACATACAGACATCAAACCCGCTACAGCCTGGTAGTTATACGGGTACATTCCACAGGGCGAGCAAGACAGAAACATAGAGAGAGACAGAGAGAGAGAGAGGGAGACAGAGAGAGAGAGAGGAACGTAAACACAGCCATCCATCACCAGACCTGACATGTTGAATGTGTGTTGACGCAATTCAACTTGACTCTGGTTCCCTGAGGTGACCCACCTCCCAGCAGATCACGAGCAGCCTGTTAATCAGTTAGTGCAGTTTGCTGCTTCTTATTAGTGACTAATGCTCCATCAGTTCCCATGTCTTTATTTGCAACAGCATACAGATCTGCTCTGTAAATCACATGTCTGGATCCAAACCCAGAAGGGAGATTTTTGTATTGATTCCTGCTGAATTTCTAAATAGACAGAACTTTACAGCCTGCAACAGAAACTAAAAGAGCCACAGATTTTGAACCGTCAGATGTGTTGGCTTTCTAGCTAATGCCTTCTTATCTACAAGCATGACAACGTGTTTTGTATTGCACTTCAACAACCACTGAGGAAAAGGGCACTGCTAACGTACGAGCCACATTTAGACTATTAGATGGATAGCTAGGCAGCCACGGCTCATTACAGATTGAGATTTGAATGTCAATCAGTTTGGCATGGAGCTCATTACTCAGTACCACTATAAACAAAATACTGTGTGTATAGTCCTAGTTAGTGCCTCTCATGTATTACCGATACATTCCAGTCAGAGTAAAATATCTAATTTCTGTATAAATACCTCGAAAAAGCCAGAAGGTGATATATGAAACACTGGAGAAGATATTTCTAGCATCTAGATACACAATCTTTAATTTGCTTCCCCAAGTAACACCTCTTTTTCCTGCTCCAAACAAGGAATGGTAGCTGTGACATAAGTCCTTGCTCAGTTACAGTATAGAGTATATCACATTTCCACCAGAAGACCTTTCAGCTGCTATTTCAGAAAGGCAAACCTCTGCATCTCATAAATTCTCGACATTAAGAGTCATGTCTCCACTGCAATTTGTCTCTTATTTTATTCACCCAGTCCAGTTATGTTTTACCCCCAAAAGAAGAGAAGAAAATCAAGTGAGTGTGGTGAGAGACCATTTCCAGTGAGCAATTCCTAGAAAGAGTCTGCAGCATGCTGTCAGGATTTGGGGAAAAAACAGTGCAAGCTGATGCAGTACATGTTTTACTTGTTTTCAACAACATCAACTTCTGTCACTGAATGTTGGAAGATCCTGTCCTAAACCAACCGTTCTCTGCATTATTGTGGGACGTCTCAAACTATCCAAGATCAGCAACATTACAAACCACCAACAATGAGGTCAAAGGTCATCTGTCCATGACAAAAGATGGAACAAACTAATTAGCCTCGAACCAGAACGTTTTCTTTTTTTTGAAAAATAAAAGACAGAAATGTCGGCCACTGTTTAAGAGTGTCTTGTTTCATTAACTGAGAACGATCTTTAAATATCTTCCACAGTTTATTCTTGTGAATGACGTTGTATATCACTCAGCAGTGAGGCTGCAGTCCTGAACATGCTGTCCCCTTCAGCTGCAACAACAAGCAGGCAGAGGAAAAAGAAGAAGGAAGGCAGAAAGTTAGAGGAGGAACTGGGACAAAGTTCAGCCACCCTCCCTCCCCCC